GGGCATCGACACTAGATACATATGCAAGGCGTGCTTGAATCTCAGCCAAAGTAGGAGGGTTTGGGTATGACGAGAATGGATTCCAACGATTCGCGAATGCCCAGAATCCAGAAAGGGAGTCGCCAAAATTCTGTGGCATATTGTCATCAAGACTACCAACATCAATAGCAAAGATGATGTCAGCCCCTAAGGATTTCATATGAGAAACCGTTAGGTTGTCTACGTATCCACCATCTAACAACATGCTTCCTTCATCACATAGTGGCGGGAGAAGTCCAGCAAGAGACATGGATGCTCTTACGTATCTCCATGCATATCCACTGGTGTGAATTTCTGATCGACTCTTACTGATATTAGTAGTATTGCAGTAAAACTCGAGCCAGAAATCTTCAATCTGAGTATTGCCAAAAGTCTTGAAGATACCACGATTAAACTCATGGCCAGTGGTGTAAGAAGCGGATGGATATGTCAAGTCCAATGCAAAGCGCCACATACTTGCCATGCGACCTGAGAATTTCTTCGCGCGTCCATACATTGGAACAACGTCTGCGTCGCGAGCGTACAATGCACCGATGAATGATCCAATAGAGGTTCCTCCAATGATATCGATGGGGATTCCAGATTCTTCCATAGCTCTGATTATTCCAACCTGAGCTATACCGCGTGCACCACCTCCTCCAAGCACGAGACCAATAGATTTGCCACAAAGACGTCTAGCAATTCGGTGAAAGTCGCCTTTAAAGGGAGTTTCTGCGGAGTAGAGTGGTGACTGCCGTACGCGACGAGATGTGTACTTTTGAATTTCTGCTTGAATCACTTGTACTCGCTGTTTCAATGCGGTTCCAAATTTCCTAGTTTGAGGATGCACTGGAATAGGACTAGTTCTGAAGTCCATCTGAACATGATGATGTCCACCATTGATCCAGACTCGATTTCTAAGCCAAGCCCGAGTCACACCAGGTGAGGAAAAGCGGTCTGTGTGCAATAATACCAACTCTTTCCTTGCGGTGGTTTTCATTCCTAATAAGAATCGTTCGTACTCTCCAATCGCGGGCGAACCATCTTCTATACCTATTAGGAGAATGCAATCAGCTTGGCTGATGCAAGTTTGGGTCCAGGGCGAGTTCACGTTTGTATCTGAAAAGAGTGTTAGTGATAATCTCAGTGGGGGATGCTCATGAATTGTAGTGTTTCGAGGAAAGTTATTACTCACCGGCAATATACAAAACCAATCCATACTTCTCCTCAAGATCAGCAAGGTATTGTGAGAGTTTGAGCTTCCCCATACGACTGAAAGCATGTCTACCAAGATGATTGAGAATAGCAGCTTGGTTGAGAGAGGTCACACCATTTGGTGCCCCAATTTGAGTCAAAGCATTCATTAGACGACTGCCAAACTCGACCACAGGAACTCCAGCAGTGACGGGAAGTACGGCAACAGTACGGAGATTTACCGTCGAAGATACCTTGTCATTTGTGGCACCGGTTACTTTCTCTTTAGTTTGCACGAAGACTGGCTCTTCTACCAAGGCTCGCATACGGGATGCAATAATCTTGGAAATCTTGATGGTGATACCTGGATGTTCTTGCGCAAGACTATTGAAGAGTGTCTTGGGAAATTTGGCAAGTTCGGTATCTCTAATCGCATGAAGTGTAGCAGGTCTTACGGATTCTGTCATAACCTCCAGTTCTCCAACACTTTCGCCTTGTCCATATTCGCCAATGACTTTCATTCCAGCTTCATCATTATTGACTACAAGTCGCAGCCGGCCATTCAGAACAATATAAATTGCATCGCTGTCATCTCCCTGATGGTAGATAACTTGTCCAGCGTTCACTTGCACCCATTCAAGTGCAAAGTCAATATGTAGGATCAATCTAGGCAATAGACTGGTAAGACGCTTAGCCATAGTCAGAAGCACGACTGGATACTTTTCGACAATTCTTTCCAATGAAGTTCGTGGTAAAAATCCTACGTAAACATCTGTTTTGGCGACAACATCAATGAACGAGCGATAAGAAGATATGGTACCGATGTAGCCTGCAATACCACCTGGCTTGATAAGCGCTAGACTTTTTCGATCTGCAGATTTTCGGTTTTTACCCTCGTGTCCTGAAGCATTTATTCCTGAGACACGCGATGAACCAGTCTTGGTTCTAGACAGAGAAGGCATTGGATCATTTGCATTTTTGTCGGCCGAAGAGTGTCGGAAAGAGCTGCCTAAAACCATGGAGTCCGATTTCTCATCAACAGGAACACTAACATCTAGAAATCCATCAATAACGTAATAAAGTCCAGGGTTTCTTTCTCCTTGTTCCACAAGGACTGAGCCTTTTGGAAAGTAAACAATCTCGACTTCATCCTTGAGCTCTTGAGCGAGACCTTGCGTACTTGGATAGCCACCAGCACTAACTCCACCAGATGTCACTGATTCGGTGTCATCTACAGAGCCTTCGTAGGGGTCAATAAGGCCAAAGGCATTGCTAGTGAAAGAGTTGCTACCAAAAATTGCCTTCTGTCGTCTTTGATCATACGAAAGCAATCGAGGGGAGCCTTCGACAGAATCTGACATACGTAGGGCATTTTTAGTGTTTGTAAGACCAATAGCTTTGAAGATGCATTCCAATATGGATTTCCTGAACATGCCATCTTCATCAATGGATTCTTGGCGGTGAAGAGGAATTCGTGAATTCATTGGACCATTGAACGGGTTTGATGTTCTCTGAGAAAGCGGACTTTGAGCATCATGATGCCATACTTGAGGATTAGAATCTTGAGTTACACTTGAAGCAGGTTTCCTGCCACCATGACGTGACATCTGAATATTCGTAAGAAGATCTCCGGGACTTGGACTGACGGCAGACTCTCCACCAGGAGTTTCAAAGGTCTGTTTGGACATCGACATAGACCCTCTAGCTGATGAAGCATGCATTGTAGCCTCTTTTCTTAGGCTATAACTAGACCTTCGCCGTCTTCCAGCCCCAGCGTTATGCAAAGCAATACCTTTGCTACCTTCTTCAGCTCCAATTCTTTCCTTTTCTCTTATAAACTTCTCCTTCAAGCGCTTCAATGCATCGCCTCGGAGGAAATTTGGTAGTTCATAGGTTGTGTATTTATTCATGTGCTTTTCAGTGCGCAGAACCTCACTAGTTAAACCAAGATAAGAGTGACCAGTCGCAAGAGTGACTCTTTGCAATCTCGTCAAAATGACCTGAACGATGTGTGCTGTAGCTTTAGGATATACTCTGGTTAATCGACGAAAAGCGCTAGCAGGAATTATAGCAATTGTAGTATCAACTGTAGCTCTGGCCACAATATCAGGATGCACAGAAGTTGTGTTCAATCTCTTAGGCCTAGGTCGACGTGGGTAAATGTCGGCTGCAGAGTCTAATGACAATGGGGGTATTCTTCCATTAACGGTTGTCGACGAAGCACGACGATTTCTATCATCTCCATGGCCATCCTGACTAGGAGCCCCATATATTGGACTTGTGGGAAGTGATGGAGGGGCATCGTGGCTGTATTCCCGTTGATCGGGAGTACCATTTCCATCGAAGTCGTCATCATCAGAATGTCTCAATTTGACATCTTCTGTAAAAAGTGAAAGTATAGAAAAGAGAGACGACATAGGTGCACCATTTCTAACCTCAGTTAATAACTGGTAGCCCTGGTGCCCACTACCTCGGTGAAGGCCAGATCCACTATCTGAATCTTCTCGTTCGTACGACATAGGATCGGTATCCGATCCACGTCCCTCTCGAGCCGACTTGACAAAGATTTCCACTAATCCATCAACGACTAGACAGAATCCTTTTTCCTCCTCAAGATTCAAGGTTTCACCAGCTATGAGCTTTCTCGTTTGCATGGAGCGTGTGAGTTCGTGGAAGACAGGACGTTCCAAATAACCAAAGATCTTGATAGCGCTCAGAAACTCATCCAAGTAATTGGAAAACCCTGACTTTGATCCTTCATCTTGCGTGTCGGGATAGAGGTCTATCTGGGGTTCCTTTCGCTGAGGTTCCGGAGGTAATCGAGAATACATATTGAGAAATCGATATCTTACGAACCAACTCATTGTTGACACAAACGCCACCATGATCAACATTCTAAAACAAGCAGTTAGCAAACACAGTATAGCAAATCGAATGGCACATACAAAGTAGTCGCATTCATGGTAAATGTCAAGCTAGTTGAGAACAGCGTAAAGAGGAAAGTCGGCATTGTAATTGTCGTGAAAGTTATGACCCAGTACAGAATGCCAGGAATCACTCTGATGAAGAACATGATCATTTTTCCAAAGACTCCAAATGTTGATCCTGCCACTGCAACATCCGTTTGGTTTGTTGGTATACCAGTAACTGACACCATGGCTGAAGCTATTGTCGAGTCCACGGAGCTCACAGAGCTTCCCACCAGGGAGGAAACAGTTTCAGAAGACATGGTTTCGGATTAACAGATTGTAAATTATTTAGCAGAATCGACTGCTATTCATAAATACTCCACTTTGGCATATCGATAAAGATTCCATAGTTTGATACGGCCAATGGTTGTTGTTATGGAAAAGCAATGAATCGATCACCTTGGAATTCAGAGCACCACATAGACAATCGACTGACCAGGAAAACAAATTCATGAAGCTTCACTTAAATTCAATAAGGTTATGTAAGACATTTGATACTTAGACGTCATTGCACCAATCAAAAGTGTCCAGCTCTTTTTTGATTTAGCGAGACCATCCCACCATACACCACCACCACCACCGGCCCCTCCCCAAATCCCCGACTGAAAGATTGTGACTCTTTCAACCTTATTAGAGCCTCGTTAATTTGGGGAGAAATCTATCACGAATTTGAATTTGAATTGGTACAAAGAACAACAATATCAACATAATTTACCACATCGGATCTCTTAGTCAAAGAAGCTTCTCATATTCGGCGACGAAGCCAAACAAAATCCATAAAATTTTCACCTCGCGCTCAGCCGCGCAACAATCGCAATCATGTCTCTCACAAACTGCCGTTTCTACGAAGAAAAGTACCCCGAGATCGATAGCTTCGTCATGGTGAATGTCAAGCAGGTATGGAATCAGAGGCGCACTCGTAGGCATAGGGGAAATGCTAATCTCCAGCTTCGCAGATCGCAGAGATGGGTGCCTATGTTAAGCTCCTCGAATACGACAACATCGATGGCATGATTCTCCTCTCCGAATTATCTAGACGTCGTATTAGAAGTATTCAAAAACTTATTCGTGTTGGACGTAATGAGGTTGTCGTTGTTCTCAGAGTCGATAAGGAGAAGGGTATGCTCAAAATTGTTGAATGTTATATGATGGCGGAAGGCTGATCTGGTCAATTGCAGGTTATATTGATCTTTCCAAACGAAGAGTGTCACCTGAAGATATTGTCAGATGCGAGGAACGATACAACAAGGGTAAAATGGTTCATTCGATTATGCGCCACGTTGCGGAAAAGACAAAGCATCCTATCGAAGAGTTGTACGAGAAAATTGTTTGGCCATTGAACAAGAAATACGGACATGCTGTTGATGCTTTCAAGCTTTCGATAACGTATGGATATTCTGAACCACCTGACTTTTATATGTACTGACACCGTAATAGAAACGCCGAGACTTGGAATGATGTCGAATTCCCTAACGATGTTGTCGCCGAGGAATTAAAATTATATATTGGAAAACGTCTTACACCACAACCAACAAAAGTCCGTGCCGATGTCGAAGTTACCTGCTTTGGATATGAGGGAATTGATGCTGTTAAGACCGCTCTAAGAACTGCTGAAGCCAGAAACACCGCTGATAACCAAGTTAAAGTCAAGCTCGTATCCCCACCACTCTACGTTCTTACCAGTACATGTCTGGAAAAATCTGTCGGTATCTCGACTTTGGAAGCCGCAATCGTGGATATCAGAAAGAACATTGAAGCTGCAGGAGGTGGATTGATCGTCAAGATGGAACCTAAGGCAGTCACCGAGAACGATGATGCTGAATTGCAAGCACTCATGGAGAAGAGGGAACGTGAAAATGCCGAAGTTAGTGGAGATGAGAGTATGAGTGAGAGTGACGAAAACCAGGTTGAGGTTATGTAAAAAGTTTTCATATCAAAGGGGATATTAAAAGCATTCAAAGGTATTCTAATTAAGCCAAAATACTAGGTATTGGTTTATAGATTTGTTTGCATTGTAGGCGCATAATAGAGCAGTAATAGGTTCTAATATGCAAATAACGAACGATCAATCAAAAAGAAGTTTTCACGATTCCATTCTCATGTGATGAAAGCAGTGTATGAAGTTGTTAGGAGACGCGGAGAGGGTAAAGAAGTTGCAGAGCATGTTATGGAAGTCTCCAGATTAGGCACTCGAGCACTTTTGACTTGGTCCGCTTAGATGCGTAGGTTCAGTGTATTGCTCGGTTTTCTCATTAGACTCGTCCATATATTCATTTTTGATGGTCATCGCTACGGCTAGCTGTTAGAGATTATCGTATACGCCCTTATTTGCAGTACGTGGTGGGCTTCGAGATGGAGTGGATTTCCGTGGTTGTATCAGGAGAGTTTTCTCTTCCGGGCCAAAAAAGGATAGGAGAGGGAAGAGCTCCAGAAAGGTATCGGGAAAGTCATGATTGTGTTTTTGTTTGAGATGTGATGTAGTCCTTGGAATTGAATGCGAAAGTCATTTCTTACGCGCAAATAGTGTTTTGGATAATTGTTACTTGAACTTCCTATTCGTAACAGTAGATAATACTCTTTCTTTTCACATAGTCATTCATGTTCATTCCGGCATGTAAATGATACTTTGAATAGAAATCTAAGGTTGGAAGTAATAGTCATTTCATACCCGTTTTTATACTTGAGTGACTGGAGATAGACTTCATATCAGTGGAATCTCATTTCGTACCTATTTTGACGTACCAAGAAGACTTTGAGTGGTAGCATTATTCAGAAAGTTCCTGTCGATGACTTGAGATGTCGGTGGGAGTGTCATTTCGTATTACTTTTGATACATAAATCATGTCCATAAATTCCTGCTCAGTGACTGGAATCGTTGTTTCATGCCCAGTTTGACACATCAATATCACTTCATATCATAATCTCACTCATAAATTCACTCTCAATGACTGACTACAGCATTTATACCCACGACAGTGTTCTCTCATACCCATTTTGACACATAAATCATATCCCAAGTGTGTATATCACTTACAATACCGTCTCTATGACTGAAAATGTTACATTCAGTCATACATCCTGCTCTTCCCAAGCGCACAAAAGGCTCCAGACTCCCTTATTCTCAGAACCTTTCTTCTTCACACAGTGCTTCTTCTCAATAGAACCGGAAATTCCTCGAACAACAAGAAATACAGCCGTCGCCAAAACTCAAGGACTCTGGTCTACTTTTCTGCCTTGATAAAGAAAACCGGACACAATATTTATTTCAACAGCCAAATTATTCCAAGAACTCATCATACTCGGTTCTCTATCTTGTTTCGATACCCCTTCCAATAAATTCCTACGTCGAGTCCACCTTCTGCTCTATTCCAGCACTTTACATCAAGCGAGCACTTTGATCTTTTTTGACCATCAACCTTTTGTACGTATTAAGTAGCGATTGGAATACCACTAGATCTAGCACAAAGGCTAGAATTGCCGCTACAAGGTGTACTTGTCGAACATCAAGTGATATATCCTCCATCGTACGTGGCTCTCTTGCATACAGATAGTCAATAACGAAGAGCAACTAACATCAGCGAATTTAGGTGTGTCATTATAAATATGTAGTATATAGTTGCATCGACAAGCATCGATCGAATGGGCATGATGGTGCATTCAGACACGACAACCCCAATAGATGTACTGAAGCATTCAGAAACTACAGAGATGGCTATTGTTGGCCTATAAGAGAAGCAACACCTGAAGAGAAAGCTGATACACTCGAGGTTAGACCTTGTAGATGTTCAGAGTGTGAAGAGGAATACCAGGCACATTTGGAAATGGGCTTAATCGTGTTCCAGATTATATCAGATGTAGCCAAGGAGAATATCGAAGGATTGACGGAATAGATAGTGAGTTCGGACTGAGAGCGGATTTGAGAATATGTATGCGCATAGGATAGTAGGATTTCACGGTTGGGAATAGTGGCGTTTGACGCATGAAAATAATAAATAGCCCGATTTTTTAAAAAATATGACTTTATCTTAACACATTTTTATGCTTCACGAATGATTCTTCAGATATTCATGTCAAAAGTCCGTCTGTTAGGCTCAAAGTGACTGTTTTTGCTACTTGAGGTGTCATAGCATATTAATTTCCACGTATGAATCACCTCAAATGGTAAAATTACCCAGAAGCTCTCTTTCAATGACTTGAAATAGGATCACCAGTGAGTGCATGGATTGACGGGAAACTTCCCAACTGTTGAAATTTTTTATAAAGTCATTCTTTGATCGTTTGATATGAAAACTTACACTTTCATCGTTTCATATCTAATGAATGATTGTAAGAATTTTCGAGATATGTAATTGAATGTATCAAGAGATATTCACAAGTACATTTTCGTAGTATTCCGCCAGTCTTTACACCCACTGGTGGATTCATGCAATGGAAATGCAAATTCATACCTTTTTGGCATATGCATAATACCTTAATTGATATTTCCAGTCAGAGAACTCATTGATAATTACAAAGTTTGGCGCAGAATCTACCTCTCCAATGTGCTCTTAAGGCTCGAGGTTCCTCTAGTTGGGAAACTTTTTTCCTCTGATACGCACAACAGCATCTCTCTATACAACAGAACGAATTCTAGACAGCAAGAAAAGTATTTGCTGGCGAAGTTAAACCTCAAGATATTCGACCTAGCTCTGTCTCGATTCGATAACTTAATACCATTTTACATCGATACTCTTTCCCGCTCTGGCACTTTGTCCTACTCCACTACTCCAACAATCTACCATAGACTAAAACCTCGATCCAAATTCACATCAACGATCTATCCTATTCGAGCCCTTTACTCTACGTCAGCACTCTCAACTTCCGAAACACTCTGATTCTCCAGTCCGCAACTTTAGACCGGTCTTGACGTTGCACAAACACCTTCGACACTACCCCGTCACCCCACATCACGCGAACACTCTGTTTGACTTAATCCAACATACTTATATATATTAAGCTCTAATACGAGTATACCACAAGCTAATATATACTTTGATAAGTGTTCGATCTACGATCTCGAATTCTATTACTTTGTCTACTATCAAAATATACATCGTATGTGGATTTCTCCCTTATGGATAACAAATAGTGACCGATGATAACTGACTAAACTTCACGCCAGATGTGTAATTGGATTTATACAGTTATGGCCTGTAGTCGGAGACACCACGCTAACGAACAGCCGGCCATTTTCCCAACCTGGCGCAAGAAGCAATGCAATACCGCTGAGATGTTTGGCGAAGGTTATGAGTGTGATGACGCCTCAACAACCAACGACTTACCAACAGATGTTCGTGAAATCGAGAAGACCGATCATATCTGTGGGGGTTGTTACGATGCTCTGAAGAGGGCTCTGGAAGATCTTAAGGCAGTTGTTGCTGATGCGCAGCAGAATTGCGATGATGGTAGATGAGAATAGAAGAGGGATTTAAAATAGTTGTGCGTGTAAGATAGTAGTATTTCACATATCAAAATTCAAGCATTTGCTACTTGAAAATATTAGATAGCTTGACTTTGGAAAATATGACATATTCATAATAACTTGCTCTTTTTTAAACCTATGTGATATCACTGTTGAACTAAAAAAACATGCAAGCAAACAAGTGTGAAGCTCTAGCTTACACCCCTGGGCTCGTCAAACTCCCAAGCGAAAGGGCATATAACAGTCAGATATGTTGAATCATAAGAAACGAGGTGACGGTATATCAGAAATGTGAAATGTGAAATGATGATGAGTAGATTAGTTCTTCCGCAAATCAGTCAGTCGTGTATGAATAATGAACAAACTCGATTTGTTGAGTAATACTATGACCCAAGTACTGAATCATCGCTACTTGACAATACAGCTCATATACCTCGCCTTATTCTCTCTCTATCCCTTCCAGCTCTTCAACCTTTTCGATAATTCCAATACCTTAAGTATTCAAACATACAATTCTCAAACGACACATTCTATTCAGAACACTTGAGGTACGTACTGGGAGTCTGGATTTTGGAGTTCACACAATAAGCTTATACTGCATAGCTATCCAAAAATCACACTTTCGATTCTCTAAACCAAACTTCGTCCCTTGGTGTACTTCTCATCAAGTATTTGATCCTGAGCGAGTACTCTTCAGGTATGTACTGAGTTGTGAGCTTTTGTAAATAGAGTGAGCTGACAGTCGTTGCCCATAGAACTCCCAGCAGTTATCGAATCGATCTACTCATTTAGTATCAAGCGAGACAAATCCTATTGTAAGCAACTCAGTCCCTTACATCCACACAAGTTACTAACCAACCCAGATGTTTCACAAAGTAACTTCGTTCTTTCAGTGCAGCAAGTGGCACGCCTGTGTTGATGATGGAAATCTACTCAGACTGATGTACATTGATCCATGCACCGGGGCAAGGGCTCGAGGCGGGGAACTTTGTCCGGAGGAGACATGGGGCGATAGAGCAATAGTAGAAAATACTCCTGAAGATACGCTAATCTTTAGCGAAAACATGATGAATCTATGCCCAGTGTGCGTTAGAAAGGCAGAGGAGACTATGCCAGGAGCCGGTATGATAGAGAGGCTTAGGAATGCAAGAACCAGAAAGGGGAATGAAATTAGAGAAGCCTTTGCAAATTGGCCAGCCACGAATGCCAGATTGCTTGCTGAGGAGAGAAGTCAAGGAGAATTTCAAAGATAAACTCGAAATCGAAGAATCTGAGCTCTGCATCATCATTCAATTTACGATGCTAGGAGTTTCAAGAAAGTAAAACGTACATAGCCTGACTTTTAGAAAAACGTACCCTTTCATAACCATGCATCTGTGTCTTAATATGAAATCGACATATCAAAGTGAATGAGTGAACAAGCATGACTCACTGGATAATATTACCCCTGAATCATTATGCTCATGATACATATGATACATATGCTAAGCGAGCATAAAGACGAGGTGACTGGACAAGAAAGATGTGAAATTTTGATGAGTAGAGTGATGATTTAGTCAGGCAGATACTTGACCAGTCATTGAGAAGTCTTTGATTCTCGAGCAGTTGAATAATTCTACTGAACAGTCAATTGATTTTGACGTATAAATAATGTTACATGGTTAAACGTAACTCATACACCCTTCCCTCCCTATCTCTTCAGCATTCTATGCGTTCCAACACTTCAACCTGCTCGACCATTTAATCTCATTCAACACTTCATACTACCAAAGATTTATCCACCTAAAATCATATTTCACTTATCAATATCCAGGTATGTACTACATCCCGTCCTCGCACCAGTAAAAACCTCGTCATTGATCGATATCAAACTATTGATATTCTCTCACTATTCTCTCACTATCCGCAACCGCCAATTCTCCTCTTGGTCAACCCCCGAAATACACATCGCATTCCAACTCGAAACCCACATCTACCTACCATCCAACATCACTTCATCACATCGTAAGCAACCCCTTTCAGTCCCTTCCACATAATGCACTAATACTGTCCACTCCAAAGATGTGTCTCGACATCCTCTCAGTATTCTCCTACACATCCTATCACGACTCCCTCACGAGGCCCCTATACCCCGGTTACACAATCTGGGGCACCCAAGAGTGTCCAGATATGCAAAAATTATCCAATACTAGATCCGTGCGTGCAGAGTTCCCCTGTCCAAATAGTCCCAATCGACACTGTGTCAATGAGCGCATGGATAATAGTCGAAATTTGTATCCAATGTGTACCAAACATTCAAGAGGCAGGATGACTGAACAGGAGCTCGAGCGTAGAAGACAGGTGGTTCTGAGAGAGAAGCTGATTGCTGAACTGGGTTTGGAGAATAGAAGGCTGGATTTGATTGCATGGGAAAAGGGACTTGAACAGGAAAAGGAGAATAGAAGGCAGGCGGAACGCACAAGACAAGAAAGGGCCTTCGAAAACTGGGCACTCGAAAGACAAGAAGAAGTCGGCAAACAAAATGTACCTGCAAGGAGACAGCCCAGCGCACCTAAAGAATCCGCGAGCCAGGATGTAGCTAGAAGATATGTACGTCGCCAACCTGATTTGTGGGAGAGAGGAGAAAGAAGAGAAGAGGGCTATAGAAGTCAGATCGGATATTCAAGCCAGGTGGGACATTCAAGACACCCGGAACATGCAAGACAAATAGAACATGCAAAGGAAGGCGAACCCAAAAGACTGAAACAAGATACAAAACAGAGAGTACTCATGAGCGAGAGAGAATTTCAGGACGAGAATAAGAATAAGAATGAAAATGAAAATGAAAATGAAAATGAAAGTGACAGAATCCAGAAGCAGCTCGAACAAGAATACATCGCAGAGGAAGAACATCGAAGAACTAGACATGAAAGGGAAAGACAGAGGTACAGATAACTGAATACTCTCGACTTATTCTTATTGCTGAAGCTCGGGGATTGGAAGAAAGACAAGAAATAGTTGTAAAATAGCCTTAGAGAAGCCTGATTTTTAGAAACTGATACATGATTATATTATATCGAGATATTTTCTGAAGAGAGATTCGTTATAATAATCGTCAACGAAGTAAATGCCAAACAAAACCATTACATAACAACACGTCGGCCCGTGATGTTGCCGACACTAAACGCACACCTACAAGCGACCCACAACATGTATAGAAATGAAACACCAGCATAAATTCCATCGCTACCATATCATATCATTCAATTTCAAATCTCACCTCGCTTCGCAACCCCCTCATTTATTATAAAACTCCTCACTCTGCGCTCCCGTCTCCTGACCAATCCTCTGATTATTATGCGTATTATCTCTCAAATTTCCACTCGTACCTCCCACAGCCGCACCACCTGTGCCAGCTTTCAGAACACCTTTCTTCCCATTTTCCACAAGGGTTCCTTCACTATCCCTCTTATTTCTGTGTACTGCTCCCTCCCCACCATGAACACCACCACTATTCTCATTCGAAAACTCATCCGCATGCACGCCCCCTTCACTCAACCCCGTAAACTGATCATTCGGGTTAGGTGGGGCGGGACTATCGCTGAACGGTCTCCTCTTCGTCCCATATTCTTTTGGCGCCTTAAAATAATTCCCGTTTCCATGAACCTGAGATGCACCACTTTCATCGAGTTCCCTACCCACCATTCCCTCACTCGCGAAACTGACTCGATTCTTAATAGCTTGAGCTTCTGGATCAAACACTTCGCCAACGCGTCCTGCGTCTTGACCTGGATTTGCAGTCTCGTATTCGAGCATCTTGATGAATTTGTAGAAGCCAGATGCGAGGATAGCGCCGAGAATAGGTCCAATCCAGTAGATCCAGTGGTAACCGACGAATTGACCGCTGACAACTGAAGGGCCGAAGGAACGGGCTGGATTGACGGAGCCGCCAGTAAAGTAGACGCCTAGTGTATGGTTAATTTAATTATGAAGATGAAGGATGCGTGTCAGAATTCTTGAATTGAATCAAAGTACATACCGGTAAGTTCAGCAATGAATAGAGAAAGACCTATGCCAATCGGTGCAATAAAGGTTCCTTTATGTTTCTCAGCTGCGAGCATAAAGATCGTAAAAACTAATTCAGCAGTGAGAAACATCTCGATAAAGAGACCTTGAACAATCGATGTGCCACCTCCTAAACTAGTTGTGGAAGTTATGGGACCAGGAAAAAGAGCAGAAACAATAGCTGCTGCTGCGATGCCGCCGATTATCTGAGCGACAATTAAAAGGAGACCTCGCAAATATGGGAGGGCTCCAACAAGACACATGCCCATTGTGACCTATATCTTATTAATGCCATTCCCGGAAGTCATTGTGAACAAAAAGGAACAGATTGAAGATTCTTACGGCAGGGTTAAAAAGACCACCGCTTATACGGAAGAAAACCCATGCATTGACTGCCAGAGAGAAACCAAAACATAAAGATATATAAAGTAGTTGAGCTGGATTGCTTGGTGTTCCGACGACGTTCGAACTGTTTGCTGGTGTTGCTAATAGAGCTACTTGAGTGCCTGAGAAAGCAAATAAGAGAAAGAGGGTAGTTCCCGCGAATTCTGCCATTGTTGCCACGAAATGATTCCGGGTCTTATTGTGTATGTGAAGCCATTTATGAGCGTTTTTGAGCGGTTTTGTTGTGTAACTGACTGTATCTGGTATCCATTTAACGAGAGGAATTCGATTTGACTTTAATGAATCTCTGCCTGCATGAGGATTTCGTGATTTTTTGCCGTCGTTGAAAAACGGTAGAACGAAACCACCGCCATCTCGAGGTTCGTTGATATTCATGATGGCTCGTTGAGTCGACGAATTGAATGATACTTGGCAATGCGACTGGGTATAGAGTGAGAATTAAAATAATAATTGAGTACTGAAGCTCATACAAGTAAACGTAATGAGCAACGAAGGAGGAATGCAATAGACAAAGAGAGCCGAGGGGTCGACTAGAGATAAAGGAAACCCCGCACCGCCGAGGGAAAGCTCCAGATCTCGAACTACAAAGCAACAGCATAACTAGCTTCAAATGGATGACTCCTCAACCCCAAGTCTCAAATTACATATACGTCAGATGTACGAAGCCGGGGACTTCATAGCATAAAAACAGTAGTTTGCAGATTTTACTTCTTTATATCGTAAGAAATCATCCGTTAAAGACGGGAAGTAGACCAAGCCACAGCCAGATATATGCACTGCGGGAAGATCATGATAAATGATGATGTTGTGGCAGACGTCGTCCTCACCCAAAGACAAGACTGGCAATTTGATACGTGAAGATGGACGTAGCTGAACGATTGCGGCTCGAAGGAAGCTAGCTTTATGTCAAGACAATTTATGGCCCAAATGATCTAGGTCATTAAATCAGGTATTGAAAGTCTGTCAGACTTCACAAACAGAACGGAACCTTACAACAAGCATGGAAAAGACACAATGGGATGTTTCGACGGCTCACGATGCGTCTAAACCTTCCATATAGGAGTTTTAGAAGCAGTGAAGGGTTGATAACCGATGGGGGCTTGATGTGGCGAAAACAACTGCTTAGAACTACTAAGTAATGAGTATCACGTCAATAAATGGTTGTGAGGGAGAAGTCAACATCAAAATTTGAACCTGTTTTTGAGGATTTAAAGTCTTGACCTTGAAGTGGTGTCAGAGCTGATCAGTTGCTGCTGCATATCAACTTGATTATCTTGATAATGTACCCCGGTTGATGAATTGATCGAATTGATATGTACCTGATAGCATGCATACCAAGGAACACGCGATTAGATTGAGTGAAACATAGAACAGTTTCCCTGATTGCAATCCGGGAAGATTGGGGAAATCCGCTGGCAGTAAATGATATATCTTATAGAATACTCCTGGTAGTCTGATTAGGGGACGATAGAGACAAATTGATAGTAGCCTTGAAAAATATGCCAAGTGCCTATCTAGAGTGCAGAGAATGTAAACGCCGAACATGGAAGGCACAATGTATCTTTCGATGAAGAGGGGTTCATTCTTTAGATCCTTTAATCTCCTTCATTCAGGAAGGAAAGATATTGATCGATTCCAACAAGGACTGACCTCCGCAAACGATGTAGAAGTATCGATTGGTAAGACCGAACTGATTGTAAATGAAAAGGAGAAAGAAGCATATGTACTTAGGTAATAACAACAACTGCGATAACCCGGACATCGTATAAAGGCATATGAACTATCTATATTCCCAGGCAATCTTCAGACTCCTTTTCTGTACTCGATAAAATTCATTCAAAGTGCCTCCAGCTGGGTGGTTCGGGTGGGTAATTATAGTGTGAACACAGCCACACGAATTTCCTCTTTAGAACAAGTTGATCAAATAACCTGGTTGTAAATCGATGACATACATGCCATTAATTTCAATGAGAGACACCCAGCTGCAGCTGTCTATGTTCATTGGTACTGGTGAGCTCATTGATGTTCATCCTCGTTGCTCGATTTCGATGTGTAACAAAGAATTCGAGTATGTATGGTGAGGTATGTATGTGCATATGCGGATTAGTTATATGAAAACGCCCAACGTTTGGCACCTCTTTTTGTTGGCATGGCTATTGCTGTGCTGGCAAGAGAGTACACATAAGTACTAGTCGCAAGTAAGAGTCGTGGAGTACGTAGGAAACGTGGGCAGAGTAGAAGTTGTCGAGTAGCAGTCGTAGAGTAGAGTAGAAGTTATCGAGTAGTAGTCGTAGAGTAGCATAGTAAGCAATAGCTGCGTGAGGGGCAGAGGGGGTAAAACATACCATATATATAATATATGCCTAAGTAAGTATATATTGATGAATGGTATATTGAACCTATAATAATAACTTGTTAGATCAAAATTGGTTGAGTTATATGATTCAATAGGGAAATAGGTAAATTAGCTCGTACCTCTAATATTCACGGTCCACCCCCTCTCTCTCTTTGTTGCCTAGTCTGTCGTACTGTATAATAAATACTCGTGGATACCTGAGCCACAGACCCCCTCCCTGTGTGAACTAAAAATGCGTGATCGTCACAAACAACTGATTCATCCCGCTCGCCTACCCTTGTGGCTCAATTCCGCTGCTCGTATCTCAACCCACGACAACTTTCACCACCTCCAACTTTGTTTTGCCCCCTTACCAGCAAGTCTTTTGTTTTGTTTGTATTTTGCCCGCAAAAGTATTTTACAAAGGTCCCTTTCGATCAAGTCGGATGCGATCAGGCTCGTCCAAGATCCAGCTGAAGAGCTGAAGGAGTTGTATGTCGGCGCTTTCGAGTTATTTAAGCTTTTGAAATTCAAAAAATAGCGATACCCATCATGCGACCTCCAAGAATCGTGATAATTGCTGCTTTTCTCCTCACTACTTTCTTTCTCACAGTTTTATCTCTGCGGTCCTCTCATTCACCGCAAAATGTATCTGCTACTACAACTACTCCAAAAACCGGAATACAATCGTTATTCTCCTTCCGAGCTCCGTTCTCGCTCTTCCCTCCCAATGCGATTATAACTCTTACGAACGATAACACAACTGCTTTCCTTGCAAGGCCTGCTGCCTTTGGACCTTTACTTCCCGACGAAGGATTAAAGGGTCAGTTATGGATAGGAAGTGGATTCGGGGACGATAGCATACGACAAGGTCCTGTTGCCTCCGGGGCTGAAGGCGAATTAGGATGTAGTGATGTGCCGGGTTGGGTTGATAATTTTGCAAAGTCTGGCGCGGCAGAAGGAGCCAAATCTGGAGACGATAAATCTGCGACGACTGCAAGTAAATCGAAAACAAACAAAAGGGCAAATGATGACGATGAAACTTTCATTGATAGCACGTCGAGCAGTTTTTCAAAAGGCAAGCATAATGTAGGAGAGCCTTCGGCTGATGATGGCACCGATGATTACCTTCACCATCCTCTTTCTAGAT